AGTGAAAGAGAGAGAGAGAGAGAGGCTCGCTTGTTGCGCCTGTGACACTGGCCGCGTCTGTGTCTGAGTCTGCCTAAGGAGGTAGAGCAGGTAGAGCAGGCAGCCACTGCTGCACAGATGAGTAATGAGTCACCTTACAGAGCAAAGTGTGTGTGTGTGTGTGTCTAAAGGTAGTGGTCAAAGTGCAAGAGGGGGAGGGAGGGTGCTCATTTGTTGTGCTCAACTCGAGACTTCTAAGAGCGGCCACTTCTCTCTCTCTCTCCCTAAGTGTTATCGTTCAGTGAACTAGATGTCATTGCTCATACTCCTCATATCAAGTTTGAACTGTTTTGTTGTGCTTTTTGTTGGGAATTTGTTTCTGTACATCACCATGCACAAACACACACTGGTCAGGTAACTTGGGGTGGCGATGGTAGAAGCAGCGGTGTGACAAAAATCAAAACTATTTCAGATTGTTCACTGGGTAGAGTGACAATTAAGTGTGTCCGGTTAATAGCTGGCAAAAGTCACTTATGCAGCGTTTATTAGCATGGCACTCAAGCATTTGCGATAAAACTAAAAATTGATGTGTTTTATAGCAACTGAAAACATTAAATTATAAAACAACGAAAAAAGTTTGTAAGCATTTGCAGACTTAATTAGTTCACAAGAAAAGATATTGACATTAAATGTAAAATTTAAAGTTTTTAAAATTTTATTAAATTGAAACACTTGTAATTACTTGTAAACATTTTTAGGTTAAACACTAATAACAATTATTAATTTTCACAAAAAATAATGTAAAAAATAGCAACATGTTATTTTTAAAATGAACATTGTAGATGAACAGGCAAACCCGCAATATACTGTAAACATGTGTTTTTGGTGGCTGGCTTCTTTTTAAAATAACAGATAATTTTTAAGTGAAAATGTCATCCAGCACTGCACAAACACCCACCAATGGAGGCTCAAAAGAACTACCCAAACAATCAAATGACAACAAAAACTCCAAAGGCGATTTTGTTGACATCTCCACAGAAGTTTATCCTGACCGCACCGGCAACTACAATTCGGGAAACTGGGGCGAAAGTTACATCAAAATACGATGCCAGTCTAAAATCGCTAAAGCTATCGAGTCTAGTAAGAGAACTTGTATCTAAATTCAACTAGTACCTATTTTATATTTTTAACCAACTAGGTCCACTTGTAAAGCTAATGCTGAGTGCATTGAAATCCAAAGGATGGTATGAAATAGCATAATATTTTTGCATTTAATTTCATAATTGTTTGCATTTTTGTAGTGAAATCGACATGAATCGTCATATAGTTTGTGAAAACTGCTCTGAAGAAGTTACCGGTGGTTATGATACTGGGAACAACCAAATTATTGTTTGTCAAAACCGAGTGTACACTGAAGAAATGACACAGGCTGTGATTAGTCACGAGCTAATTCACATGTTTGACTACTGTCGTGCCAAAATGGATTTTGGAAATCTTGAACACATCGCTTGTTCAGAGGTAAACCTTATCTACCTGTGTTTGCAATTTTAATAAACTAATTTTATTACATTATAGATACGAGCTGCCAATTTAGTGCATTGTTCAATGACTAGTTCTATGTTCATTGGAACAACAACACCGTTCAAAGTGGCCAACACACACAAAGAATGTGTCAAGGCAAAGGCACTTGCTTCACTGTTGGCAGTTCGCAAGGGTTTTCCAGTACAAGAAGGCGTTGACATCATTGACAAGGTTTTTGACCGTTGTTACAATGATTTGGAACCTATTGGCCGCCGCATTCGCCTCAACTCCGATCACATGAAATGGGCATATCGTGAACGATTTCACTACAATTACGACAACATTGTTTAATGTCGACCGTAACACGGATGTTAATATTAGAATTGTTTAAAAGTGTAGTGAAATTGCTTAACATTTTGTATTTTTTTATTATTAAAGTAAAAAAATATTAGTTGAATTGATAAACTTACCAGAACTTTTTTATTTTTTGCAAAAAAACTTTCTGTAAGCATGTTCAGCTGCTGCAACGGCTGTTTACAAAAAAAGTTTAGGTAAAATGTTTTAAATATTTTTAGTTTGATTTTAATAATTGAGTATACGATGATTTCAAAAATATCTTCAACTATTCAATGTTATTTAAAATCGACTTTTATCAAGAATATTGCATACATTTTTGCTGCATTAATTATATTTGCCTTATGCACAATCATTTTTTTCAATTTCGCTTGTTCAATATTTTTCTACAAAACAAGTCCAGTTGATTCTTTTTCGTTTTATAGACAACCAAGTAAGTGACAATGACAAAACAATAAAAAACTTTATTTACAAATTTTTATTTTAAGTTTATGAAATCAAAAAATCCAATGTGATTCATAACAAAGAAGTTTGCGATTTTGATTTTAAAACTCAAATTTTGGACAATTCAACCAACAACAATTATTTTACTGATTTCTACAACAAAATAAACTTTGAAAAAAAGAAAAAACAGTTTGACAGTTCCAATGAACAATTTGATGCAGCGACAGTTCTTTTGCCTCGTTATTCAAAAAACGTTTATCTAAGTAAAACATCTAAAATTTACAAAAAAACAATTGTTTAACTTTTGTTTTATTTATAGATAACATTTCAAACTTAATTTTCCTTTACTCCGCGTTTTATCAATCGGCAAAAAACGCTAAGTTGGCCATCATAGGCATTGCCATCAGTGACATTTACTGTCCAAACAAAACAAGCAGCAATGTTGACAACGTTCCTCAGCTGATGTGCGTTTTTGACAGCCATCACAGCGGAGAGTTGCGAGTCAAGGCGTCAATTGACTGTCTGCCTGAAGGACATGATTTCTACTACACAAGTGTCCTTATTCATTGTCCAGTGCCGGCTCGAATTCAAAATCATGAACATCATTTGGACAAAGTCAAGTTGATTCAGCGCAATTTGCACACTCACAAATCAGCCGTCTCTAAAGCTATTAATGTGATAAAAAGCAAGGAAAAGCAATCTAGTCTTCCAAATTCAAGTTTCATTAACAATGGTTTGCTCAGATTTTTACCTTAACAAACAATTTAATTAATTATATTTTAACTTTTAGACATCACCGTTTGCGTGCGACCTCTATTTGACTCAATCAACGTGCTGAATTTGCTGGAGTTTATTGCCTACTACCACAGCAACGGCATCACCAATGTTGTCTTCTACTACTATGATTTTGCCAACCTGACAGAGCTTTCGCCAACAGCAGTTCAAGCAATTCGTTTTCTACGTTTTATTGCATCAGTCTCCGGCGTCAAGCTGCATCCTTTTGTTTTGCCAAAAAGCATTGAGCAGTCAGTTCATTCCGGTGCACAAATGGCCACTATCCACGATTGCCTGATGAGATACCCCAATTCAGTCCAGATACATGTCGACATTGATGAATTTGTTTCGATTGAAAAACGGGGGATTTCAATTGGGCAGTGGGTTGACGATCAAATGGAAAGCGCGCCCAAATTTGCTGCCCTCTACATTGCCAGTGTTCTTCACTGCCACGAGTTTAACTTTATAAACTCAACTTACTACGAGTTTGCCTATTCTAAATGCAAACAGTTTAATACTTTTGCCAATTTTCATCAATGTGAACGCCACTCAATTAGTATGAAAAATCAGTTTTATCAAACATTGAATAATGAAACAATAAGTCAAGCACTGGTTGTACCAAATAGCATCAATTGCCAGCAGACGCCTTGGCCGCATGAAATACGCTCCAAAGTGATCATTTTACGACCTAAACTAGTTCAACACATGGGCATTCATAATGTTTGGAAGTACACTTCACCTGATGTTTTGTCATATAATGTTTTTACTAGAAGTCATCAAGCTTTAACGAAAATGATTGGACTTAATAACAAAACACAAATACAGTTTTACGGTCACAAAAATGTCAATTCAAATGAAGTTGTTTTGCGACATTATCGTTGGTGTTGCAATATTGAGCAGCCTTATTTTTTCAACATTTTGCATTTTAATTCAATTGATGACTCTATTGTTCAAATGAACGTCGCTAATCCGAACATTCGCGTCAACCCACCAGTAAAAACATTACAATTAAAATCAATTAGCAAAACAAGTTTTCAAATTGAACAATTAGTGTTGCGCAACTTTAAAATGTTTTTAAAATATAGCACGACAATTTTCAAAAACAACTTAACATTATAAATGTGACGCGCTCATATTATGAGAAAGAACAATGCGCGTGTTTTATGAT